CCCCCCCCCCCCGGGGGGGGGGGGGGGGGGGAGACAGCCTAGTAATCTGCATACTTCACAGATCCTGTTGAATGACTTCAGTGCTCAGGACAGTATCAGAGCTATGACAAAGCCACTCTTTAACACCCAGTACTTTCCACAGTAACAGTGGCTTTTCCCTGTGTACAGGGCTCAGCCTTTCAACTCATCAAAGATATAAAACTACAGTAAACCCATCCTCTAAAAATAAGAATGTATTAATAACTGGGTATGTTTTATTTTTCTTATTTTTTTCTTTCTCACTGTATATGTCTATTTACCACACTTCTGCCATGTCATCTTTTACAAGCCTTCAGCCCCTGTTAATTAGGGTGCGTGCCCACACACAGGAGAGACAGATAGAGACAGAGACAGAGAGACAGAGAGCGATAGAGGACATAGGCACAGATATACTTGACAGTGATATTTTTCTGTACATTATTTACTAATTTTCTAACTTTGGAGAAGTGGAATTCATCCTTGTTATGAGATGACTTAATACCTGTTCTGTCTTATCCTTGAATAATATTCCATTATATAAATAATTCACATTTTGTTTTTTATTTGTAAATTGAGGTCTATTTGACTTGTCTCTGCTTTATGACTATTTTGAGCGATGCCACTCCGAATACTCACTGGTTTTGTTTTTTCTTTTCTTGTTGACCTATGTTTTGAAATCCCCCTGAGATTATATTATCCTATTATATGTACTTATGTTTAACTTTTGGGAGAACTACTAATTATTTTCAAAGTCACCATGCCGTTTTATGCATTTTACATTCCCTGTAGCAATATATAAAATTTGAGTTTTTCTAATGGTTTTCATGAACATAGTTTTCTTTTTAACTGTAATTATCCTGGTGGTTGGGAAACCACCCTTCATTGTGGTTTTGATTTGCATTTCTTTGATGACTTATGATGTTGAACATCTCTTTAATATGCTTATTGTATTCTTTGGAGAAATGCCTTTTCTCACTTTACAATGTGTTTTTAAATAACTGTGTTTATGAGAGGGAATTCGGAGCCTTTCTTCCCTTCACAACCATTGCCTTTTAGTACTGTGGATATTTATTCAATGAAGATCACGTAGGGGCTTCTTGCATCCTGTCATATCCTCTTAACTAGTGGTCTAATTTTACCCCGTGGTTGGATTATACTGTTGAATGAATCTAGGGCTTCACCCACAAAGGACTTCTCTCAATGAGTAAAGATCTCTGATTCCCTGAGAGGACTGAGACTCTGGGTAGAATCTCTTCTGTCACCCATGGGACTCTGGCATTGCACTGGCTTCAGCTTGAATGTAATCCCAACACTCAGGAGGCAATGTCAGGCAGATCTTTATAAGTTTGAGGCCAGCCTGATCTACATTGTGAGTGCCAGGCTTGTTGGTGTTGGGATTTAAGGCATGTGCCACCACACCCCAAACCATCTTCTCAAAAGCTCTTGTGGGCTTTTGCATTGCTGCTTCTGAGAGATGCAGTGTTATAGAGTATCCCCAGGAACTTCTTGCTTTGTATACTGAAATGCAGTGCTAATGTTAATAACTCCCCCTCATCTCAGACTCTGGGAACTATTATTCTAGTCTTATTTTTATGACTCTGACTACCTTAGCTATTTTAAATACCTCACGTAAATGAGTCATACAATGCTTGTCTTTTGAGACTGGTTTACTTCATTTAGAATAGTGTCTTTGCACTCTAGATGGACACATTGTTTTTCTTCTGACTTAACTGACTAGTGTGTAAAACACTTAGTAACTGTAGGTTGTTTCTGTAGAATTTTCATTTCATTTTAAGTGTTTGTTGTTTTACTTATGAGTATTTATGGTCTTGAAGAGAGAGTGTGTACTATTATAGTAATGGTCTAGGATGAAATGTGTTCAGAGTTTTCCTGGGAGATGAGTCTCAGTTCTGCTCACGAGAAATGCACCCCTCCTCTCCCAGTCCTAGGCTTGTTCTGATAAGTATGTCTTCAGTTTTGCTTATTGGTTTGAGACGTCAGAGTCAAGAGGGCTAGTAGAGTCTAAGTTGTTCTCTTGTGTCTCTGTGTGTCTTATTTTGTATTTGAGTACAATTAAACCAGTCTATCTATGAAAAGCCAAAAACAGCAATCACATTGAAACACATTCAATCCTGGTGTTTTAGTTTGAAAAGACTAAAACATGCTTCTCTCTCTTAATCTGTTCTCATAGACAGCATGTGAATCAATGACAGGGACTGGAGCTTATTAACAGTGAGGGGAATCTGATGTCACCAATCCAGATTGCCATTCCAGGAAACATTTGTTTTAAGTATTTGGAACCAATACACACTTTTCTTATTTAGATTTATTTTATGTGTTTGAGTGTTTTGCTTGCATGTGAATTTGTGTGCAATGTGTGTGCTCGCTCCTCTCAGAGGTCAGAAGAGGGCACTGGATACTCTTGAACTGGAGTTATGGTTGGTTCTCCCATTAACTGGAGTTATATACTTCTGTGAGCCACCATTTGGGTGCTGGGAATCAAACCTGGGTTCTTTGTAAGAACAAGAAATGCTCTTAGCTGTTAAGCCCTATCTTTAGCTCCTTTTATTTGGACCTTGAGGATTAATGTTTTCTGAGGAGCAAAACTTGACATCATGTTGCTGTCTGTCTTCTAAGCAGAGCTTTCTAGTTGACCAGAACACAACTTTATGGGCATTTCTTCCCCCCTCACTAAATTAAAACAAAAAGACAAAAATCCTTTAAGAGAAAATTGCACTCAATTCACAGCAGGAGCTTCTGTAGTCCTTATCCTTAGGTGTTTCTGAAAAGAGTTGGCTTTTTCTTTCATTTAAACTTCTGAGGGCTTATGCGGGTGTTGTTACTATGTAATTCTTTTATTTTTCGGTGGTAATTAGTTACATTTATCAGTATACTTTTCCTTTAAAGTACACAGGAGTAAATGTTTTTATTAAAGGAGTATGGAATAAGATTTAATAATTTTATTCCCTTAACTCCACCTATGGTTGTTGATTACCTGATTTAGTTGTTTTCAAGTTTCTCTCCATATGTCTGCATGTTAAAACAAGGCAATATGGAGACTGGCTGGGTCATGATATGTCATATGTTAATATTTTTTTGATGAGTTATCATTAATTTACTTACCTATATACATCTCCAAGTAATAACTTAAAATATCTAAATGAAAGGATTGGAGAAATGGCTCAGTGGTTAAGAGCACTTAACTGCTTTTGTGGTAGATCTCAGTTTGCTTCCCAGCACCCATACAACTCCCTGTAACTCTAGTTGGAGGGGATCTTGTGGCCTCTTCTGACCTTTGTGGGCACCTGCACCTATGTGGTATACATATATACACTCGGATACCTACATGTACACATGAAGTAAAAATAAATGAATCTGTAAGGTATTTGAATTATAGTCTGTGGCAAAATGTAGCTCATTCTTAAGTTTTTCTATTGTGATCAATGTTGTCATGAATCTTCACACTTATATTTGAGTATTTGTATTCAAGAGATTCATAGTACTGGAGTTAAATATCATGAGCATTTATTATTGCTAGACACTACCAAATTAATCAAAACTGTCTTTATCAATTATATTTCCAGTTTCAAGGTAGACCACTGACAGCCTTCTTAATGCTAAAGTTACATTAAATAGTTAAAAATTTTGAGGTGAGATGACACAAAATTATCATAATTCAGTGTGATAATTACTCTGGTAGAGGAGAGGTATGTGAGAGATGTCTAGTTCAGGTTGCATTGGGAGGGTTAGGATGTCTCTCCAGAGGAGCTAGCACTTCTGCTGGATCGTCAGTAGCCAGTTTATTTTAACATACTTAGCTAAATAGGGAAATATCATGGCAGTTTTAAGTGTGGGAGCATTCTGTGAGAAAGCCAAAATCACTAAGAACACAAAGCATGTTGGAACTTCAGAAGTATTGAAGAAGGAGAGAGTATTGTAAGAAAGCAAACAAAATACAGGAAAGTAGTTAAAGACTAAGTTAGTTGTTGCAAGAAATGAGACTATATCATTGAAAATGATCAGCCTTTAAGGGCTTTAAAATAATGGAATGGTAATCTTTTTTTTTTTTTTTTTCCAGGGGAAAAAATCAGTTACTTGTCATTATAGACTGTAGACTGAGGCAAGTTTGAAAGAAGAGAGCTGCATGAGAAGTAGTGATAGCCTAAGCTAAGACAGTAGTTATGGTGGCCAGAGATTAGGGGGTTGACAAGAGGAATACTAGATAGAACTGGAAAAAAATTGACTATCATATATTATAGAGGCCCAAGACTGGAGTATGAGGGTTATGAGCTTTAATGTTGATAAGCAGTCTTTGAAATTTTAACCAAGGTATAAAAGTAGATAGACATCTGATTTATATAGATTATCTTGAAGGCTGAATGATGGAAGGGTTGAGAAAAATGTATCATAGGAATGCCTGCTAGAGGTAGGATTTTATGATAGTTTGGACGTTAGTAAGCATGGCAATGGGATCGACATAGTCATGCTAGGTGCTGAGGATAAGAGGGGAAGCAGAAAGAATAATGTAGGTTTCCATTGGGTGGCAGTGTCCAAGGCATGATCTACTTGAAAAACCAAGGGGAGGTGGTAAGTTCATTCTTTTTGTCCTTCTAACATAAATGAAATGTTCACATATTTGTAGGTCGCTTTATATATAATCCCAGAATAATCTTTTTCTGAACTACTTTGACATAAATGTTAAGTGTCTATATCTTTTCTGTTCCTTATGATGATTAAATCTTGTTTTTAAATTTTCTATTTTTGCCTCTTAATTTCCTTAACCTCCAGGAAGAACCTAAGAAAGTCCGCTTTGATTATGACTTATTCCTGCATCTTGAAGGCCACCCACCAGTGAATCACCTCCGCTGTGAGAAGCTAACTTTCAATAACCCCACAGAGGATTTTAGAAGAAAGTTGCTGAAGGCAGGAGGGGTAAGTGACACTCTGTTGTTTAAAAAAAAAAAAAAAATCTTTCCTATTAAAAATACTGGTTGCTAGTATGTGAATTGATGTGTTCTGGAAGAGTCCAGAAAGCAAAATACATTAATGATTTAGCTGTGCACTCATGATTTTGACTATAGAAAAAGGCAAACAGTGCAAATCTGCAATGACATAGCTGGTTAGAACAGCCTTAATGTCTCAGTGGGTCAAGTGTATTTTGACAAAGCTTCGTGTGTGACTTCTCCAAGGTGTATGTGAGCAAACATCTTCATCCTTGAGAAGGTGCTGAAAGCAGGCCAAAGAAATGATAGTGCCCAAGAGAACTCAGAGAACCAAGGAGTAACTTGACTTACTTTTATGAGCATGAGCTTACTTAGGCATCAAAAATCCCACCTAAGCAAGGGTAACAATTCCTGAAATCCACATCCATGGAGTTCCCTAGTCAACTAGAGGTCAGGTCTTCAGAAGAGTCTCGTCTCCCTGAGCAGTTGCTTGCCAACTGCTTATAGAATCTTATGGATTGGGCTTCCTGAGTCTTGTTTATCTGCTTCCTCCCACTGATAGGGCATATTTGAATTTGGGAGAAGTATCTATCTATGTAACAAAGGCCAAAACAAGCAACATACTTCATACAGTTGAAGACTAGGGCCTGCACTTGGTTGTATCAGTTTATACAGAAAGTTTTAGGAATAGTTCAAGGTTATATAAATTTTCTTTTTTACACACACTAGAGTTACCGTCCGAATTTTCTTTATCACAATAAATGGCAATATAATTTGTTTATATATCATGTTTAAGTCATTTGAATACATATTTTTGATTTTTGAATTGTAAATAGAAGAAATTCCTTTTAGATGAAGGTGACAGGTGTGATATTTTTGCCCTTGCAATTGGTATTGCAGACACAGGCATTTAAGATGTTTGTTTTTAGCCAGTTCAGTGACACAGATAAAGATAATGAATTGTCTAAAATTCAGTATCACCCAGGCCATCAACCCCTTTTTCAGATGTACTTTTTTAGTCATCTTGTATGCACAGCTTAGACTCACATAAGATCCAATTCATATATAGACTTGAAATTTGTTCTTTAGGATCCTCTGGATTTAGTTATCTGGAAGGGATTTGTGTAGTTTTGTATCCATGCACTTAACATTTTCTTTAAGCAGTTATAAAGCCATTGCTTCTGAAGAAATTCACATCACTGGTAAGCTCTGCCTTAGGGCTGTGGAGGGCACAGGGGATTATTTTGGTACCATATTTTTTCCCTTTATGGGATCATAGACAATTACTTTGCAAGCTGTAAAAGCTTTTGACCCTGTCCTAAGAAATTGCCTGTCTACTAATTTTGTGACCATTTTGGATTATGAGGACTCATTTCTTTTCTTTTTTTTTTTGCCATGTTTAAGTTCTTCACTATACTAATATGTTTGTAGATGATGAGTTAAATAAGTATGGGAGAACAGCTTCAGAAGCAAGGAAAGGCTTTTATAACAGGTTAAGATTTGGGACTTTGTTGCTTCTTGGCATTTTATCATTTCAGTGTAAAAATGGGGAATTAGTATAAATTTATTAAGGAAGTTGTTCTTAAAAATATAACCCTTTTAATTGTTTTAATAGTTAGCAAGAGTGTAGTATAGAAGCTACCTATTTATCTGTGGTTATACCCTTAGCAGTAATGTGGTCTGTTATAAATCCCAATAACCTCATTAGTTTTCTTTTCATGAAGGTGGCACCTTAGGCTTCTTGGATATGTTGTTGAGTAAGTAATTGAAGTTTGTGGATTATGGGACTTGAAGACATCAGGCTAATGATAAAGGCTATAGGGAAAGGCAACTGTGACAAAGATTGTTTTAAAATAGGCACACAGACCCAGAATGTGAAAGGTTAGAGGTCAGAGATAAGCCAGTGCCACATCCTGGTATAGTCTCCTGTTTATTTTGGTGGATTGTTATACTGTTGTTTATTTCCTGGTGACCTCTATGACTTCTAGCTTCCTTCTTTGTGTTTCTCCAAGTAATCTTTGAAGCCCCTGGATACTTTCCTATTAGGCTCCAAATGTGTCTTGACAAGTTCAAAATATTTGAACTGTGGAATATTCTTTGTATAGACCGTTTGACATGCTTAATACTTCTTTTAAAGGGACTGATTCCAGTGAATTTTATTACAAAGTAAAAACCTTAAAATTTATTTGAGACCATAGCAATCTATAGATTCATCTTATATGTGGACATTAAATTGCCTTCTATGAAAATGCTCAAAGCACTTATAGACTAATACACATTTCTTTGGCTTAGATTATTTTTAACTGACATTGCAACATTTGCAATTGTCTTAATGTTAATGTTGTCTAAAAGCTACAGACTTCTGAGCCATTTTGCTTTCATTGAAATTTTTCAGTTCAGATAAGTTTTTTTTGTTGTTTGTTTTTGTTTTTTGTTTGTTTGTTTGTTTATTTTTCGAGACAAGGTTTCTCTGTAGGTTTGGAGACTGTCCTGACACTCGCTCCGAAGACCAGGCTGGCCTTAAACTCACAGTGATCCATCTGCCTCTGCCTCCCTAGTGTTGGGATTAAAGGCATGCACTGCTGCTACCGGGCTCAGATAAATTTTTTAATGGCTGTATTTTGGCAGACAGGGGAGGTGCTGTGTTCTTTATTCCTAAATACCTCATTAGTGTATGTTGCAGTTGTGTGTGTTCTGCTCTTAAAGGAAAAGAAACGAGACCTTCCTCATGTGTACTAATGTAGTCATTATGTAGTGTTTCAGGCCTGAGTGGTGGTTTATGGCTTTCTTAAACTCCATCCATTTGAGATCCCTTTTCACTGAGAAAAGTTTTTTAAATAAATTTATTTATTTATTTTACATCCTAGGCATTGTTTCCTTTTCCTCCTCTCTCCTCCTAGTCCCTCTTCCCATCCCTTTTCTGCTCCTACCCCCCCAATCCACTCTTCCTCCATTTCTGTTTAGGAAAAGGCAGGTCTCCCCTGGGTGTCAACAAGACATGGAATATCAAGTATTAATATTCAACGTATTAAGGCTGGACAAGGAGACCCTGTATGAGGAGTAGGGTCCCAAAAGTCTGTAAAAGAGTTGGAGACAGCCACTGTTAGGAGTCCCACAAGAGGACCAAGCTACACAACTGTAGTATATGTGTAGAGGGCCTAGGCCAGTCCCATGCAGCCTCCCTGGTTGTTGGTTCAGTCTCTGCCAGCCCCGATGAGCCTGTCACCTGAGAAATTTTTATGTGATGCTTGGAATGTAGATGTATAAAATAGTGAACAAATGAAAAAATTACTGATAATAAATCATAGAGAAGTATATTTTAAAATGGTGATCCAGAATGCATATAATTTACCACTTATTAAGGACTAAGTAAAATTTGCATATTTAGATGAAGGTATTTCATTATTTTTACATGAGGAATTTAATCTTGGCCAAATGGTCTGCACTCAGAGCATCTTAAACATTTTTCAGAGTTCAACAGTGTTTTGATTTTATAGTAATGAATATTAAGAATGCTGATTAATATAAATAATGCATCATGGCAGAAATATGGGTAGGGCCATTTCAGAAATTGTTTAAATTCTGCCCTAATCTCAAACCCAAATCCATTAGATTTTTTTTAAATGAAACTCAAGCCAGCAACTCAAATTGCAATATTTCACCACAACATAACTCAAATATATTAGATATGTTAATTTGATACTTAATATTGCTGAGGTATGATCAGAAAAATACTATTTTGTTTTTCTTAAACTGATATGTTTGTTTCAATAGCAACAAGAAGATTTGTGTGTCTCGTGAAACCATTTCAATTTATAACCTTTCAGAGTTGAGTCAGGTTGTTTGGGACTCCAGTCACTGGTGTTGTGTGGAGGAATAGTGTGTGCTATGTACAGTCCACCTGATCTGTGTTCAGGGCCGCAGGGAAGGTTTGCCGTACCACACAGGCAAGTGCTGCCATAATGACCACAGATTCACTATGCATTTGATTTTACAGTAATTTTTGCTCATTGCACATCAGAAACTGCATGTGGATGGGTGTGCATGTGTGAAGGCTAGAGACCAGGCATCTCCTCAATTCTCTTATCTTTTAAAATTTGAGATTATTTATTTTCTGATGTATGAGTGATATACTGACATGTGTGCCTGTGTATCACGTATGTGCCTGGTATCCAGAGATCAGAAGAAGACATTGTGTCTCTTGGAATGGGAATTATGGGTGGTTTTGAACTACCGTGTGGGTTCTAGGAATCAAACCCAGGTCCTCTTTAAGGACAAGTGCTATTAATTACTGAGCCTTCTCTTCCCCCCCTCTCCCTTTCTTTTGAGATAGGATCCCTCAACAAACCCGAGTGCACTGATTTTGGTAGACTACTTGGCAGCAAGCCACGGGGATCCTTTTTGCCTTAGTTCCCTAGCACTGGGGTTCCAGATGTGCACCACCGTGGTTGACTTCATGTGGATACCCGGGGTCTGAACAGATCTTTGTACAAGCTCAGCAATACCAACGATACCATTGCCCCCGCTCTAAAAGCTCTTCACCGTTGCCAAATTTCCATGGCCTGGACATTCAGTTACATGACCCCATATGGGATTGCCACCCACAGTTTAAGAAGATGGGGAAGTAGTCATTGTTTGGCTGTGTTTCTCTTTTACTTTTTTTCTTTAGTGCCGAAAGTACACAGAGCTATTAAAAGTTGAACTTGGCTTTTCTTGAGATCAGAAAGGTTACTTTTAGAGCTGGAAGCTTCTTAGAAAATGATTTCCATCTTTTAGAAGAAAATGATTCCAAAGAACTTTTTGCCAAAAGAATCTTGAAAACTTGCAGATTTTTTTCTTACATGATAATAGTCAAACTGACAGCTATGTGTCAGATTTCCCTCTCACTAGGTCACAACTCCCTCCCTCCCTCCCTCCTTCTTTCTTTCTTTCTTTCTTTCTTTCTTTCTTTCTTTCTTTCTGCCATGACTCTTTTCTGAACTGTCCCAAAGAAATCGTCATGTACATTTCCCTGGAAAGAAAAATACCTTGTCTTCCTCTATTGAATCACCCCT